ACAGTTAATGTTGTTAATGGTAATTCATTTATTCTAGATCCAGCAGGGAAACAAACAGATTAGAACTGTTTAGGAGAAAACAAAAATACTTAATTATGGCAATGGGAAGTTTTGGACCACACAACTCATAAAAGTCATGGCTCAAAGGGGTTTTTTATTGGGCTGTCAATGAAGATTTCCACAGACAACCCACTAATCATCAGCATAAAGGGATGTTGCACCTATGTATGAATACATGCATAATCTTTTTTCATATTGTGTGCATAAGTAGGTGCATTGATGACCATTGCTAATATCTCAAGCACTGTCCCAGATCTATAAAATCCCAGTGCAAATACAGCAGACCATAACTGCTGGACCAGATGGTCTGCAACTTCAAACTGCAATCATACCCTTGCAGAAGCTTCAAGAGAGATTAAATGATCAGAGCTGTTGTATTTTTCCAAGAAATTTAATCCAAACTGACACATTGATAAGAAGACATTCCCTCAGCTACCTTCTACTTTTTCTTCCAGAGTCTTCAAAAGACCATTACAGATCTGCAGGACACAAAGCAGAGCTTGAAGAACATATTTTAAGAAAAAAACTACCAGATGGAAGACCTGATATTTAAATTTTCTTTTCACAGCTGCTCATGAATGACATTTTCTAACATTCAGTTCTGCAATGATTACATATATTTACTTGCTATAGACACACATGAGCATTCGGAACACCCTGGTGCATTTTCATGTATACCGGTACCACTAGCAAGAAGTTAGTTTTGAAAAAGAGGCACAGGGAACTACCAACTGCAACAAAAATGCTCATGACACCTGCTTACTGTTATAGTACAATTAACTTGCGCCACCAAAAGTATTTGAAGATATCTCTGGGAATAGAAGCTAGTGGAAGCAGGGTACTATTTAGTTTTTGTTATTTAATAAAAGCTTTTCTGTGAATTGAACACAAAGAAAACTATGTGAATGGAAGGAGTAACTAAAAGCACTTTTACAACTCAGCAGAAACTCCTGGATGGAAAAATGCAAGCCTAAGAGCTTGCAGTCTGTAGGACTTTCTGTTACATCTCTGTATATTATACACAGGACTTCAAGTATACAGATTCCCTTGCTTCCCTGGAACTGGCTCAGAATTCATCCTTTGACAAAGATCTGTAGCCCAGAATCTAAATTTCCATACTTCAAACATTTGGATTCTGATGTGGCAGCTGAGAAGTGTGAGCTTCCTATACCTCCTACTGAATTTCTGCAAAGAACCTAAACCAGAGTAAAAAGTACACCTAAACAGGACTTGATTTTTTTTCTTTTCAAGGATGAAGATGAATACATTGAAATTGTTTGATCATATATACAATAATATAATTGTACCATCCATCATAAGCACTTCAGAAATACTTAGTCTAAGCCTTAGCTCAGTGGAGCTACCTCAGTTTACTGCCCCCAAAAGGGGAAATAAGGTTGGCAGACAAGTTGCCCTACTAGCACAGTTATTAGCCTCTTAGTCAGAAAGTATTTCCAAAAAATCTCAGTTTCAGATAAAAAAGAAAAAGAGGGATATAATTATTTCATTATAGCTTTTGACAGCAATTGTAGAATTTAACTAAAATCCATAATTGAATGTGTTTATGAGAAAGTGGGGATAACAAAAATCAACATATAGTACTTTAGCAGTGAAGAAAATAGAGTAAAACCACTCACCATTCATATGACGATGAATCATGACCCGTAATGGCTCTGAATGCTTTTTATTAAAATGAACTCTAAAATTCTGAAGCACAAGACACTGATCTCAAAATATTGAATAAAATAATAATTTCCTCTTTTTATGCAAAGGAATCCTCCAATTGGAAACTGAAGAGAATCAACATGATAACATATGAATCTGCTCACAGCTTAAAACTAATAGTTTGAAGGAGGTGAACTCAACAGTGCATTAGATCCAGAGAACATATTCAGGTACACTTATGAGAAATAAATTCCACCAGGAAGAGTCAACAAATGTCCAAGTAGGTCAAATTATACACCCCAATAAACAAATTCTCAATTGCAAGCATTAAAACAGTGGGAACACAGCAGCCATACCAGTCTTTTTTTCTTTATTTCCTGCAGGGAAAAGTAATGTTTCTCCACATTCCAGATGTTACCATAGAATGAGTTAAGGGCTTCTGTGCTTCACAGATGATTACCCATAATCCAAAGAGACTACCTCTATGCATTACTTCAACTTAAATATTCTCATGTCCAGGCAATTTTCCTTTTTCCCAAAATGTATTCAGTTGTGTTGACTCATAATAGATGCACACATGCTTAAAAGAAGTCATTGGCCACTTTAAAAGCATACACTTCCTGAAATATTTCCATACTTTTACAATTATCTTTTGGTCAGGAAGGAGTACCTTTGGAAGCTTTCAGTTAGAAATTCAACTCTTTTCAAGCACCTGTTCATTTATTTTATTTTATTATTTTATTTTGAGACTGGTTTGCTGAAGTGTTGTTCAGACCTCACTGTCTAGGGCCCAGTGTATACATGTCCTATCTTCAACTGGCCCAGCTAGACCTGCAGCACCTCTAGGCTATACAGCTGAACATAAACATAGAAAGACAATCTCTTCTCCTACTAGCTTCACAAACAGGAATCATCTGCCTATCCCCTTATTCTTGACAGCCCAAACACCTTTTCACATGCAATTGCACGCATTTAACACAGCTTACTCACTGCTAGTGGAGCTGGCTGGTTACCTCTTCAAAAAGGCAGGAAACACTGAGGAGAGAAAAAGTCTAGGGGCAGAAAAATGAAAGCCAGTTCAGCTGCCTGAGAAGCAAGCAGCCACCCAGAGAGGCCTGGTCTCAGTTTCTTTGTAATCCCTTCAGCTATCAGAGCTCTGATCCTGACAACGTCAAAGGCAAGACAGACCTGACATGCATACAGGTTCCTCCATATTACATTTTATGTGTGTGATATCTTGCCAGGGATTTCCAGCTCTATAAATGCTGTTCTTTCCTCTAACAGTAATTGAAGCACCTCCGTGTCAAAGCTAGGCTGAAGAGAAGCTGAATGAACATTTTGCAGACATCCTCTTACAGGAAAGGTGAACAGATGCAGGAATTAAATGCCTTGTTTTAGTAGCAAAATTCTTCTGGGAATACTCCTAAATGGTATCAAACAACTGAAATTAGTTAACTTTTGGCTTTCACAGATGACTTTGTCCTGCATAAATACTGAATCAGAACAGGCTGGGGCATCAGGGAAAATGTTTTGTATCCTAAAACTATTCCTGTCCACCTTCTTTCTGTCTGGATGCTAGTATGTTCCAGCCTAATGTTACTTCCTCAGAAACAGCACAGCTGGCCATTTAGAGCTATTTGTTGAGAAGGGAATGGGGAAGTTTGCTCCATGCTGTTAGAGCACAGTGACACTGATTACAACCATGTATATATAGCCCTGAGAATCAAGCCAAGGCTGTTTTGACACAGCTGGATGATAAGAACATTTAAGCTGTCTGGATATACACTATTATTTCCAACCTGTCAAGGTTCAAGCAATAACCATGGAGGAGCAGGGACACAGTCTGTAAAAATCACTAAGTTATGGGATGGAGAGGATTGTTTAGATGGCACTTCCAATGCCAAGACAATAGACATGGACATGGAATCTGTCTCTGCAAATAGCACTCAGGCAGCTTTAGCTGAGGCAGAAGCACATCTGGTTTGTTACAAGGTTCCCTTCACTGTTGTTTCCAGAGTTCTGTATATGACTGCCCTAATTTCCTTTGACTACGAGTTTTTTGAGGGGAGGAGGATGGAAGAGGGAGGAGAAAGTTAGCAACTGAGCAGATAAGGTTATTCTGTTTTAAAATATTTTCTTTCAGCATCCCAATCACTGGGGTCCTGAGTGGAGCTTTTAGACACATAGAATTGTATGAATATGTATATGTGTGTGCCCATATACATGTGTGTATACACATACACCTATACAGAAAAGTGTGTGTAGTGACATCAATTAGCCTTAGATAAAAGTGGGAGAAAATGTGAGAGAAAAAAACCTGGAAGTATTTTATTTTGATTGCAGTAAACCAGCTTTTGCTTGGATTTAACCAGTTCCTTTATTCAAGTATGTAACAGAGCCATTGTTTTTTGTTTTCCTGTTTTCTCAAGATTCCTTCTCTACACTCCCTCTAGTGTTCTTAAATTCACTTGCATTTACTCACCCCTGCTGTATTCAATTAGTATTTCACACAACATTAAGTTGTTCACTTTTCCATAGCCTACAGGAGATCACTGAAAGTTAGACTAACTTTTCTGAATATTTTTCTCTCTGCCATGATTGAAGAAATAAAGATTAACAGATGAAAGTGAAATGTACAGTTCTGAAATAGCAGTTTGTACTTTGTTGGTAGGTAAAGGGCAGGACTTGGTGTTGAAAAAGGAGGAAGATTTTGTTTGCAAAACCTTTCATCTAGATTCATATGCAAAGGACAAGGAGGAGAGTTGCACTAAAACACTGCTTTCATGGATCTTTTCCTGACATTCTTTTTGTCAAATACAGAAACTCCCTCTAACACATACACACATCAGTACTTCAAAGACACAAACCAAGAAGTGACCAACAATGAGGTTTTCCTAGTCATCTCCCCATTTCATAAGATTCCCTGAAAGGACTGTGGCAACAGGTAGTTTCTGCTTGTCTCACTCATATTTTTCAATAAAAGAAAGAGAACAAACATAGGAGAGACTGGGTGAATATGTTCTTTAAAAAAGAGGTATCTTCCCTCCAAAGTAATATTTCCAAGAAACTTTTTGTTTCTGCTTCATAACTGCAGTTTTATTGCAGGGCCAGAACTGAAGACCTAAGCAAATATGAAAATGAAGCAAAACCATTATTCATAGAATATTTTGATTGCACAACTATGTAGAAACAATGGCTGTACCACAACAGCTTTGCTCCTAATTTCTCATTATATGCAGTAAGTCTATATTAAATGTTTTATCATGTGTACTTACAGTGCTGTCAATATATGCCTCTGTCCATACTACATCATGCTCTTGGTCAATAACCTTTGGTCGGCTCAGAACATGGAGATACTCCATGACGTTCTCTTGAACATCAGCTAAGGTAGAAATCTGTGTGAAAAACCCTATGAAAACACACAGTTCCAAGTTATAAACCAGACAGAACAAACTAAGGAAGATTGCAATGAAGAGTATGATATGTTTTATGTCTGTCATTTCTTCTTCCTGAAGAAGAAATGGAAAAAAAAGAAAAACAAAACACCAAAGGAATGTTGTATAAGAAGCAGCCTCAAACAGTAATAACTGCTAAAACCAGAAGTTTGTGAAACCTTTGGCCAATCTTGAAGGACTGGATTCCCAATATTGATATAAACCACTGCACTGCCTGTCCTAAATTCTATTTCCAGAAAACTATTTTTGTTTAATGATAAAGAAGTTTGGGGATGTTTGTTCTGTTTGGTTGGTTTAGGTTTTTTGATTGGTTGGTTTGGGGGGGAGGATTGGGTGTTTGCTGTTCTTTTTGCTGTTTGTTGGGGTTTTTTAATCCTGCATACTTTAAAAGTTAGAACTGATATTAGCTTTGTCCAATAACGACTCATCCAGGTTGTCCAACTTCAAGAAACAAGATCACAGTTTCTGTGGAGCTGGATTATTAAGCTTCAGTAGAAAACACAGCAGCTGTAAAGAACTTTTGAGCTGTGTTTATTGCTGGCTGGCAAGACTGCAAGGGTATTCTGTAGTCCAAAGGTTAGAACTTTGATTCAATACACTTGTCAAAAATTCATGCAAATGAAATTAATGTTTCTAGATACTTTTCATCTGTGTATGAATTAAGACACAGTGTAAGACTGTGGTAGAGATCTAGAACATGAAATACATCATAATAGTAGTTTAATGCTTATTTTCATCTTCAGTAAAAGCAGAGGCGGTGGGTTGTTTTTTAGCCAAACGTATTCCATTATACTATGATCTCAGATATTCCTAGTATAACATTAATACTCATAGTATTCATATTGTTCAAATATTCAATATTCTGCTAATGGATTTTTATTTGATACTTTAGTTTTTCTATTAAGTCCAGTATTGTGTGAGGACATTGACTACCACATACACTATCACGGTTTAACCCTTGCTTCAAAACAGGGCTATCTTCTGTGAAATTATGGTTCATCTAGTTACTTTGTTTCTACAAAAAGTTGTTTTTCTGAAGCTTTAACTTTCATTACAGCAAAGTGGAAGGAATTGCAAAAGCTATATGAATTATATTTCCCATGTTTTTAAAGCTTATTCTAATATTTATTGCTTAATGTTCTTCTAATGGAAAAACTCTACCAAAAGTTACTATATTATAGCTAAGATAGCATTAGGTAACATTATTTTAGTTCATTTTCACTGTATAATTAGAATTATTGATGACTGATGTGTTTGTAGCCATGTGCAACAAATGCCAAACCTCACAAGAATTAGCTTCCCAGCTTTCTCTCTTATCCAGGGATCTTCTTATACCAAAGTTTAATCAGTAGATTAAGACATGCTCTGTAGCTCTGGAGCACAGCCGCTTAGGCCATGTAAGCAACAGCAGCAAACACGTGCTTACATTTTTGCATTATAACACCTGCTTCTCAGCTCCCTGCTGTGTGAATTATACCACCTCAGAGTCAGTGCTACCTTTTTTCCCTCCCCAGCAGGACAAAATTCATGAAGGAAATAGGTAATATTTGGTAATGAAAAGTGTGAGTGATGTATAATAGTGTGGTTAAAGACAGTCACTTATACTCCTCAAGTGGGCTACCTTTCCACATTACACAATCCTTGAGATGAGAGTGACAGAGCACTGGAACAGGCTGCCCAGCAAGGTTGTGGAGTTTCCTTCACTGGAGACATTCAAAACCCGCCTGGACGTGTTCCTGTGTGATGTGCTCTAGGTGACCCTGCTCTGGTGGGGGGGTTGGACTAGATGATCTTTCAAGGTCCCTTCCAACAACCCCTAGGATTCTGTGATTCTGTAATGGTTTTGGATGGCTAGTTTTTCTCTAAAATGTCCACCATTAGACTCATAACTTCAAGATATCTCTAATAGACCTTCACATGGAGTGTAGTACTTCTCATTTTCTGGACACCATGCAAAATAGATACAATATTCTCACAACTAATAAAATATCCAAATTTTAAAATCCTCTTTGGGTAGGGACTAAGGAGGGAATTCATTGTTTCACTGCAGCTGAAAAACTCTCATTGAGAAGACTCCGCTTCCCCCTCACGTGAGGCCTCTCAAGCAGGTGAACAGTATCTGTAACTGGCTGCCTGCCACCCCCCACAAGAGCCCACAGTGCAGGAGGTGCTGGGGTCATGCTAATAATGGGAAAGGAAGTGGCTGAGGCTTCCTGCATCCAGCTCTCCTCAGCTAATACAATAGTCTATAAACTGCTACAGTTGGGGGCACAATTTGCCTCAGGGCTGATCTGTCCTCTACTGGCAGAGGGAGCTGCTATCAGACCTCTGAGAGACAAAGCAGTTTTCTCTACATTGCTTTCTCAGTCTCTGCTCCTTTGTACTCTTGAATCTTCTCCTTTGTCTGTGAAGATCCATAATAAAATTTTTAAAAAACTTAAAACAGAGGCCGTCAAATTACTAATGCAATAGACAATTCTACCAGAAAAAAAAAAAAAAAAAAAAAAAAAAGTTTCATCCTGGCTGTTTTGTTAGTAAGTAATGGATTAAATCCCACCTTTATCTTTACAGCTTTTTACTGAAGTAACTGCTGAGAGAGAGGTAGTACCTGCTTGCTTTAAATCTAGCACATGCACACTAAGCACTAGGAAACTTTTACCTTTGTCCATTTCAGAATTTTAGTAAAATCTTTATTCTTTTCCTTTAGGTGCACTCGCTTACAACACAGAAAAGTAAATCACTGCAAATTTCACAAATCGCTCCAGAGGGACTTTGGGGTTCTTGGATGTTTAAATGTATTTTCAATGGTTTGGTGTTTTGCTTCTTTAGGCAAACTCCCTCTAAATACGCCCTACTTATGTATAAAAATGTAAGAGGAAAACCTGCTAGAGATTTTTCAAGGTTTCACCATCAGAATCTAGAAGATACAGAAGTTTTGCAAGGTGTTATGACTTTCCCCTGTAACTCATTTTGAAGGAAAGGACTGCTATCCACAGTCCAGTCAACTGGAAACCCTGCAAACAGCCTTCATCTATGTTGTGCTTCCAAGGGGAAAATCACTGCAAGAAAAATTGATTTTAGGGTCATTGACCCTCAGTGACAACAGCATACTTTAGCCCACCCCTGCAAGCAGAAAACTGAAGTCCAGCCATTCAGCCAGCCTTTAAGACCAGCTTTACTACACCCCTCATCTGTTGTGCTGTAATCTACTAGAAGAAAATGGACAAGCTGTAGCTGAAAACTGTAAGAAAAAGATCTAAGTCTGACGTAATGACCTGTGCTGTTTCCAATTGTGATTTTCAAAGATATAAAAAAGTATTTAATTACTGATTAGAGGTACAAGAATTTTACATTGCAATCTAGCAGACAGCAGGTACTGTAAATATTAAACTGAGAGGAAAAAAAAAAAGATCTAGAAGAAACAGTCAGTAAGCTGTTTCGTTGATTCATATGAGTAAGATTCTGACACAGAGCAACATGGCTCTGAGAAGAACAAAGTAGCCTGAAGAATGACATAGGTGACCACTTTTCTCCCTCTGGAATAAGGAAGACGTGGACCAGATGATGTACTAAGGCAGTCTCTATTGCCTGGTACTAATTTCTCAGTTGCTGTACTTAGATCTTTATGAATCTGTAGAGCTGGGCTAAAAAGCTAAAAGATTTTGTTGATTAAATTGTCTTCAAAAAGATGCTTCAAAGGATTCTTATACTATTATTTAAACTAAATTATGGTGTAATATTAGCTGATTAAGACAAGACTTCAAACTGAGTAATTTCCATCAGCTGGACATAACAGTAGTTAAAGGAATAATGAGTAAATGGATAGCACCTGATGCAATTCATCATAATGTAATGTGGCACAAAGGAAAAGAAAGACTTTTTTTTAAATTATTTTTTTTTCCCCTGAAAAGGAAAGGTAAAAGAAAATCTGAAGATTAATTAGAGGTTTTGCTTTTTTCTGAATATGCCTTACTTATACTAGTACATCCTTTTACTGTACCATCTCGGTATCTTACATTTTTTAATGTTCATTCCTTAAAGAATATAAAACTCTTTTTCAGTTACACAGCCAGTTGCTCAAGGGACAGAATCTCTGGTGTTTCATATGCTTGGCCTAACTCAACAGGACTTGTACTGCCCAGTGTTCTTCGGAATCAAACTAACTCGGAGTAATAACAGCTATACAAGAACAAATGCTTTGAAATTAAAGTTATCTGAAAAAAATAAAGTATATAGTTTAAAATAGTCATATAAATTTTAAGAAAAAATATTTTTTAATTTTGGCTTTTTATTATTTTTAATTTTGAAATTGTGTGCTGCAAGATAAATATTTTCCTTCCTGGAAAAAAACACAACCTATCCTCTCTGATTAGTTGTCAGTGACACCGTATCTGTAGAAGGGTCAGAAATGCAGGAAGGCTCAGTAACAGGATTTTAAAAACAAGGCTTTCACAGTTGAAGGTTAACTAACCTTTGTTAGCACAGGCCATCCACTTCAGGTTATCAGCAAAAGCAGCTTCTCTTCCTATCAGGTATGTAAAAATACGAACCTGAAAGTACAATGAAAAAGATCAAGTAAATTAATACGTATAAAACTTATACAGTGGTGTCAGATACAGAAGTGTAATTCATATAGACAGATCCTTTAAAAGAAGTATTACAATAAACAGCACAGTAGGTTAAAAAGATCACCACCACCAATATCTTTGTGACAAAATGTTCTTTTGTTTATGTAACAGAACGGCTGATCTCTTTGGATATTAAAAATATCTGACATTTAACCAAAGTTATCATTACAAGGTTAAAATGTAAGTGAGAACAAACTAAAACCATTGGGGTACAAGGCAGATTGCACAATTCAGACAAATCTGTTCTGCACTTACAAATTCAGAAAATTGGTGTGGTGTGAAGGAATAGACAATTAACAAATACTGTGTAGCTAAAGATCTGAAACACCAGATAAGAAAGTCACTGCTTTCCTTAATATTCTGCCCATCATTTTCCCATTCCCTAATGATTTTTCCAGGAAAAAGGAGCCAAGTGCATACTGAGCCATTTTAGTAAGAAGAATACAAGGTGACTATTCCCCTCTATTCCAGTGTAAGACCTCATCTGGAGTACTAGGCTCAGTTTTCCCATTCAGGGACAGATAGGATTTCCCATTCAGGACAGACATTGATAGACTGGACAAGACAGACTCTTCTTGAAGGTGGGCTGAGGAAGGTCGTCAACAATTCTGATTTGATAAAAATACAAACATTTTTATCATGAGAGTGATAAAATATTAGAAAGTTTTGCTCAGAGATGCTGTGGAATCCACATCCTGGGAGATGTTCAAATCTGACGTTCGTGAGCAGCATGGTCTAACTTCACCTGCTCTGAGCAGCACGTTAAACAAGTTGATCTTCAGAGGTCCCTTCCCATCTAAATACTTCTATGAAATTAACAATATTTTACACAACAAAGTAGAAAATGAACTTATTTTCTAATGAAATAACTTGTTTGACATTTTGTGAATTTTAAAGATAAAACAAATACATTAATTTAGGACTGGAAATCAACCATTTGTTGCTGCAAACATGGGGCTGTCATTATCTATGTGAAGGAAGAAAATAATGAACTTCATATGTAACACTAAAAATTGTAACTGAACCCCACATCGAATCCTTCTATCTCTTTATCAGTATACTTAATAGAATTATCATTATCCCAGCTTCTTTAGAGAAACTGTTATCATCATTAAAAAGCTGTACACAACAAAACATGCTCCAGAGCATTTTTTTCAATAGCTAATTGGATCTCACATTCAGGCTTTAATTATACAGAAGGTTAATTATACAGAAAGAAATGTCATGATGTGAAAGTTTATGCAGACCTCTAATTAATTCATTTGCAATTAAAGAAACAATGAAATAATTAGATTTATTATGTTTTTTCAATTAGTTCTTTTTTCCTACTCACACCAAGACAAAATAAATTATTTGTAGAACATACCAACTTTATATTAAGTTGCCATAGGGTGTTTGTTTTTTTCCCCAGAAGTTGCAAAATATCTGTGAAAGTTTCCCTCCTTACTGTCAGATGTGATACTATGTTCCTTTACTGCCCATTTTCTTATTGGCTGGATCCTGTTTCTAGGCGTACATGGTGTTTTGCATTATTAACATGCCTAGAGATCAGACTTCACTCACAGAACTTTTTCCAGTCTTTCAAGCATAAAATGTACATAGAACTCAATCATCATTTATATAATTTTAAAGGTATACACACTGGTTGTGTAGTATTGTTAACTAGTTTGAACCAAACAGTATGCATAACCCTATTCTAAGACTCTAAAGTACATAAGATTAAGCACAAGAATGGTACTTTATGCTTTGTTGATGGCTGTGAAGGACATTAAAGAAAATCTTTATTCTCTAAACACACATGAAAGGGCACAGTGCAGTTTATACCCTCAAAATACAGCATAAATCTCTGTGACAGTTTATCTTCCTGAAAATTATGCTTAAATATAGTCTATAATGGCACTGAATATATCTGAGACATTTCTGTTTAATGGTCTGCTTTAATCTATAAATAATCAAACTAGACTATTAGGTGTTCCTAATAAAAGAGACCAACCTTATCTAAAAGAATCAGCAGTAAGCTCATGATAATAGGCATAGGCAGCAAACTAATGTCATTAAACCTACAAAAAATAAAATCACAACAGATTGGTATCACAGATTATCATGAGGAACAGGCTGCCTCTGTGATACTGCAGCAAGCAATGATTTTAATGATATTTCTCTCAGTACATTTTATACCTAGAGTTTACCTGGTATCTGCAGTTTTGCTAGAAAATATGTTAGGTGTAATAAAATGCTAATTGCTTGGCATTACTTGATATAATAAAAATAAAATCTGTAAAGTATAGAGCTAACACTGAAGATGAATGATCTATCAAGTGCTCATTACTTAATAAAATAACATATTAGTCATAGTAACTTCATAAGAAAATAACCATATAAGGTCATAGGAAGATAATTTAAAATAATGCCACTGATACATTAAAATTCTTCTTAAAGGTATCTTAAAGATACATTCATAGGTATTATGAATATTGTTTAATACTCTATTCAGAATACTGAGAGAAGTCCCCAAAATCATCTTTGATGGCAAACAATTCTGATTATAGCTCTACTCCTAAAAGTTTCATGTGATCAGTTCACTGAACCCCCCCCCATGTAACACTAATGCATATGATTGAAATTTCTATAATTTAAAGTATATGAGAAAGTATAAAGTGTGTCTCACTCTGTGAATACCTCAAAGAAAATAACACAATACAAACTATGAGCTTTAGTAAGTATATGATCTCTCTCTATATATACACACACACACACTGATACACCTATATTGGTATTTTATCGTACAACACACTGTTAGAACACTAACAATTCCTTTGAATTCATATGAAGAGAACATTTTAGTCAAGGTAGACTGAATAAATTCAAAGTTATTATTGGCCAGTCCCAGAAGATTCTGTAACAATATTTACATAGTCCACATATGCTCTGCTTAACTGGGTATAAGCCAAATGAGAAAAACATCTTTCAATATCCAAGTGTTGTGACTGAATCAAGAGACCATTTTCATCTGAGAAGGAATCTGCATCAGATGTTGTAAGTACCTCTTTGGCAAAAAAAAACATGACAGAAAGAGAACTTTTCAGTTCCAGATAATTTTGAAAGCTTTGTAAGTTATTTGAGAGAGATACATGAATATTTTGAATGCCTGACCTGTAAGGTATATCAACCATATTATGCCTTCACATGAACTGTTAACTATGGAGAAAGGAAATGTTCTCAGGCAGAAGCATTAGATTAGTTCTGAATTGTTATATCCTATCTACAAAGACTGAAACTGTAGATGTTGTCAGATCCACTGAATGCAAAGCAAATCGTACTCCAAGATGAAAAACATTCTTTGAAACTATACTTGCTACTTCCACTCAATATGTAGCTCCAACAGATGTGCCATAGAATATTTTTTTTTGTAAGCCAATGTTGACAGAAAACTGAGTGAGAGCTCCACAGCTACAGAACCCAAAAGGACAGTAAAACTAGGATCTTTTGTAGAGTTTGTAAATTTCTCACCTCATATTTTTCTACAGCTTTCTAAAGCGGGTGTTGAATGACAAAGAATACCATTTGAGATTGATGTATTTTAATTATCTTTAAAACAGCAGCTGTAGAAACCTCCCATATATAAACTTGTTATTATGTCTCATTCCTGACCCAGAAGGCTCTCCTCTGGGCAAGAGCACTCCATTCAATTACTATTCTTACTAAAAGATTGCTACAGAAGGTCAAATTATTCTGAACTGTAGAATCATATTAAGCAGCAGACCAATTTCAACTGTGCATTTGATGACAACCAGCTTCTAGGTGCAAGATTGTGGATTCTGTTCCAAAACTCTAGTCCATAGTGAGCTAGTAAGAAGCAGCACTACTCATCAACCATTGTCACAAGCTGGAAAATAATCCCATGTACACAGCAGAATTAAACAATATTAAGACATTGAACCTTAGTTCAGACAAAACTAAACACAAATCTTACACTGAATAAAATACTTACATCACCAGTAGATATTTAACTGCATATATTATGATTATTTTTAACTTGCTTTTTCTCTCTGGTTTTCCAATCTCTTTGTTTTACACTCTTGTTGCCTTACCTAGGCAGGGATCATGGTTTGGTTTACACAGGTGGTTTGCTCTCTCTTCTTTCTTGCATTCTCTCAAATTTTGAAAAATAAGAGAGTACTGCTTATAAGTTTCTTGTTTTAAAGCTAAGAAATATTCTGAAGTGTGAATCTTTAAACTCTGGACAGACAATTTATATAAAATCTCAGAGACACATACACTCAACCATTAGTGTGGAAACCTAAGAATGATAGTTTAAATGACAGATATTCCAGCACTAACCACTTGATCTGAAATATCCACTTAACAGTTTCATCCATTATGCATGGACTAATTCTCAGTCCCTGAACTGTCCTCATCTCTGAAACTTCATTTAACTAGCAGCGTAGTGAAAAGAATAGGGACCTTCTTCTATCTATGTTAGGCAAGACAATTCAATCGGCAAGATTCTACACACTGGAACTGTGAAGTCATGTATTAATGGCAAACAGCTGGTAAAATACTATTTCCAGAACCTTAAAATACAGTGTGGGAGGGGAAATGGGACTTCTGTTTGCAACTGACAATGCAGACCTCTCTCTGTTTGCAGCTGCAAACTATTTCAGGGATACCTTCAGCAGAATAGTCTTTCCTTTCTGGTTCAGCAAGAAATAAAAATAGTTTTGTGGCAAGAGCAATGGAATTTAAGTTATAAGTGGGATATGTAGGGATGAAATTCAGATTCCTGTAGTTATAAATCATGGTGGCCCAGGAGTGCCCAAGCTAGTCTCTGCATACATGACCAAATTGACTGATTGGGAGCAATGCATCAAAAGTAATTGCTTGAAGTCCTAGATAGCCTCACCACAAAAAAATTGGCTTAA